TTATTTTAAATATTTATATTATACTCTTACTATTAATTATTCGATAAATATTTTATTATGGAATAAAAGAAATTTCTTAGATTGACTTATATTGTTAAAATTGATATTTAATATATCTTGCGCCATTTAGCGGATTTCTTAAAATTAAGATTTTTTTAGTTAATTTTTTTGGCCCTACTCTGAAATTTTTTGTATGAATAGTTCTTGGTACTCTTTACAAAATATCTGAAATTTAGGGAAAAAAATTTAGTCTAACATTTTAAAAAATTAATTACAAATTTTTAACCGCAATTTAAAAAAAATATATAAACTAAAAATTAATTTTAATACGTTCAAGAGTTTACTTAGGGCTATAAAATGAGCCATAATAGATATACATAGTGCATCTAATAATTAAAGTTACCTCAATCTTAAAAAATCATTTTTTTCGAAAAATGACCAAGTTGACCTACTTTGAAGCCCTATATCTCCGGTTCTAATAGAGTTAAGACTCTAATATTTTGGATTCGTCAATTAGAATACTTTATTAACTTAAATACCAAATTTTAACAAAATCTGAGATGATCGGGTTGTAAAGTGATTGATTTAATGTGGAAAATGACCCAGAGGTGTAATACTGAAATATTTTTATTAACCCAATACTGGTGGTGCATATATACACCACCTCCTATACATCATTTTTAAACATAGTAGTTTTTATTTTAAAAAATAATAAAACAGATTTTTATATAATTTAGACATTGTACCTCAACACTGGAAAAGAAAAATGAAAAAAATTTTTTTTATATCCCTAAGAAGCCCTCAAATAGGGCGAATTTATGAGGTCTAAAATGCAAAGTCTTCTAAGTGATCTCACGAGCATATTATGAAATTATTTTGATGAAAACTAGTGTATATTTTTTTTATAAATATATCAATATTTATCAATCATTTTTGAAATTTTAAATAATTAAAATTTTAATTGATAACCATATAAAGTTGACTGGTGCATATATGCACCGTTAACCATCTAGCAGTATAAATTTAAAAAATTCAAACAAATCAAATTTAACATAATGAATTATAATTTTTTATATTATACTTAGAACTATTACCATTACTAAGGATGGGGGGGGGGGGGGGGTTGGCTCGAGCCCCCTGAAAGTTGACTGGTGCATATATGCACACCATCTAGCAGTATAAATTATTTTAAAAAATTTAAACAAATCAAATTTAACATTATGAATTATAAATTTTTATATTATACTTAAAACTATTACCATTACTAAGGATTGGGGGGGGGGGGAGTTGGCTCGAGCCCCCTGAAAGTTTTGAAGAAAAATTTTATACCCAAAAAAAGGTCTTGAGAATATTTTTGAACCCCCTGAATCGAATAATATGTTTCTTTTATAATTTTTTATCTCGACCTAATTATATGAAATTCGCAAATATACGGTTCATAAATATTCGAAAATCAAAATTATTCATAAAAAATTTAAATTATTTGTACCCTCTTCCTTGCTGAACATTTTTTTTTCTTATGCACCTGTTTTGTCAATTCAATCAAAATTATCAAAATAATAGATGACATTAAAAAATCAAGATTCTATAAAATAAATATTTAATTTTTAATTAAAATTTTTAAAAATCGTTTTTAAAATGACTTAACAAATGACGGAGTTTTACCTTGATACTCCTGGTGAATTGGAGATTCATAATTCAATTGATGACGACATTCATTCCAGAACCATCTGCTACAAGAAGCTATTCTGTAATTTCTCGCCATTTAAAATGAAGAAACGTTATATTCTACAATTTCTTTCAATGGGGAAAATGAAGATATAAAAAAACTTGAAGACAATTTGCATGGTAAAAATACATCAGATATATTTTTTAATTTTCGGCGAAGACTTATATTCACTAATTGTAGATCAAAGTAATATTTATGCAAAACCAATGAATAGGTCTAATAATGTATAACCATCCCAGATATTAAGAGTTAGGCCTTACAAAACCAAATTATCATAAAATATATTTTGATAATTTCTATACCTCAATTAAACTTTTATGGGATATTTTACAACTGGAACTGTGAGGGATAATAGAATGGAGCATTCCCCAGTTAAATCTATAAATGCTGTAGAAAAAAAAGAAAGAGGATATTATGATTATGAAAAATTAAACGAAATATTTATAGTTCGTTAGAATTATAATACGGTGGTGACGAGTTATTCCAAGAAAATATCTTCTAAAATAAAAATTCCTCGACCAAATATGATCACTGCTTATAACAAACACATAGGTGGAGTTGATCTGTGTGATAATCCCATATCTACTTTAAAATAAAAAGAGGGAAAAAAGGGCGGAGGAATTTTATCGATGTAACTTTGGGAAATTTGGAAATTCATGAAAGAGATTGCTTGTAAAAATTGAAAAAATTTAAGTACAGGTCACTCAAGCCAGTTTGCATAACAGAGCGAAACCCTACTGATTCATCTGGATATTATTTATCCAGAATCTATAGATGGAAAAGACATAGATGCAAATATTGCCATACGCACTCAAAATATATGTGCCAAACATGTCAAATCACACTTCATACTAAATGTTTCAAGGATTTTCATAATATATAAACATTTTCTCGTTTTTATTATAAATTACAAAAAAAAGAATAAAGATTTCTATTGTTTTTTGATCTTATAGTATTATACATAATTTTTATCTTTTTTAACCTCTTAATGGTCAACGGTGCAGATATGCATCAGGCTAGATTTTCTATTTAGGATTATTTTTTTCGGCTGATTTTTTTAGAATATCATATTTGAGCATTAATCAATATAATTTGAAAAAATTGAGCATATTTATCCACGAAAAATCTTGACCATTAATGGGTTAAATGTTTAAAAAATTGAAAGAATGACCATAATTAAATTTTATAAGCGGGCTTGGGTTAAATTTTTTTATAAATAATAGGCGGGCGGGTAAAAAATTTTAGATTAATAGGCAGGCGGGTAAGGAATTTTAGACAAATGGGCGGGGCGGGCGGGCATATATTTATTTGAAAACTTTGGGTGGGCGGGTAAAATTTTTTTGAAAACATTGGGTGGGCAGGCTTTTGGTCTAAAAACCCCCCAATGACCTCTAAGAGAGACTCAGTTTGGCTTTATGCCTGGAAGATCAACAACTGATGCAATCCACGCAATTAGACAAATAATGAGTGCTCGATCTAGAAAATGCCTTCGATAGAATCTCAAGAAAACTTGTATGGTCGGCGCCACGCTACAAAAAGTTTCCCGAAAAATATATAAGAATAATACAGGATATATATATGCGCCATACGACAATGGTCCATGGTACTTCAGTAGGCTTCACGAAAGCCGAGGGAGTCCATCAAGGGTAGGCTCTCAGCCCACTTCTCTTCATAACAATAACAGTCCCGTGGAATATGATATTTGCCGATGTTATTGTGATACTTGCCGAATCCAAGAATGAAATGGAAGAAAGATTAGTGAGTTGGATAAATATCCTAAGCACGGACTAAAAGTAAACAGAGAAAAGACTGAGTATATGGTGATAGGAGGAGATGAAACAGAGAGCATTAATATAAATGAATGGCAGATATTGGCAATTGAAAGCTGCAAATATTTGGGCTCCACGATACAAACAAACGGTACAATAGAGAAAGAGATAAAGAGTTAAATTAATCAAGGGTGGTTAAAGTGGAGATGTTTATCTGGAGTGCTCTTTGACAAAAGAATCCCACACAAATTGAAGGGAAAAATTTACAGTTCCATAGTACAACCAACTATTCTATATAGTTCGGAAACATGGCCAACCAAAGAATCAGACAAGAGAAGTTACAAACTATGGAGATGAGATTGCTGAGGATGATTGCTGTGGTATCAAGAAAAAATTTAATGCGAAGTACAAGAATACTAGGAAGTTTAAAGATAGTGCCTATTAAGGCTAAGATAATTGTGAACAGACCTAGGTGGTATGGGCACACAATGAGAAGGCCTATGAACTATATAGGAAATAAGGTTGAGAGTTTGGAAGTGATAAGTAAACGTAAAAGGGGAAGGCCAAAACTTCAATGGGGCTTTAAAGTTAGAGCCAATATGAAAAAATATAAATTAGATAAAAGAGATAGCATGAATAACATAAAGTGGAGAGATATATTGAAGGCGCTTACCACTAGAAAGGGTGAAAGCTAAAAAGAAATTTTTTTTTTAGTGAGACATATAGCTCATTCGCCAAAAAAGCCTTTAATCAAAAATTTAAAGGGCTTGAAACCGATTATTAATTTTGATATTATACACTACAATTTAAAATTATTTAAATATTCCTGACTATCACTTAAGGATGACATATTATTTTTCAATTATTTGTTTATTTTTTAAAAAAAATATAATATAATTGCCCTTTTTGGTTTATTTAAATTCAGATTTAATATACAATTTAGAAAATACCATTAACAAACAATCTCACGTTTTATGATAGTTAGAGAATAAAAAAATACTAATGCAGAAAGTGCGAATTTAAATGCTCACATAAAATAAAGTATTTCTTCGAAATTATAATTGTAAGAGACTATTTACATTTTGGATTTTTAGAAATCTGTCATTCTAAGGAAAAGATTGCAATAATTATAAATATATATTTAAATTTCATTATTAAGTTATATTTGTGAAGAATTTAATATTAAACTTAGATCTCATTTTTATACACTATTATATTTACTTCTATAATATAAGTCACATTAAAGAATTATCTTTTAATTTAACATTGCTTGTTTTTGGTTTATGCTTTAGTTATTATGTTATATATATACGTTTTTGTTTTATATTTGATAAATGTGTTTTGTTTTTCTCGATTTTTTCGGATATTCCATAAAAAAAATTTTTGATTCGAGCCATATATAAGTACATATAAATTATTTTTGAAAAACCGACGGAACCATTTTTGATCTTCATTATTTTAAATAATGAATCACAATTAATTTTTTTTATATCTTCTCATAGGTTTCGAGCTTATTATGAGGAAAGTATCGACCAAATTACTCCACGAGCCGAAATGCTCAACTGTTATTACACATACGGAAGAAGATATTTCAAGGAAGAATTCAGACCTCTCAAATATACTTCTCTATGTAATTGTATAAAGTAATGACGAAAGCATTAGTTACGTTCATTATTTCTGACATCGTTAACAGACCTTTAAAAACATCATTTTTAATTCCAATTTGAATTTAATTCTTGATTTATCGCTTAAAACGATTAAAACTCATATATTACAACTTGAAATAAATTGTCTCCCAATATTTTTTTAGACGCGCCTTCCCGAGAGCCAGGCTAGACCGAAAGATTCGCGAGAATGGCCAATTACAAGTCCTCTGCGAGGGCATTAAAAAAAGATCCAACCCTTTGCCATTACATCAGGGTTAGCGTTAACAATAAATTATAATTTCTATAATTTACTTATCTTATTGACAAACTTGAAATTAATTTATACAACACGTTTGGCTGCTTATAAGAGGTCTATCTGACATGAATTGAGTTTATTTTTCGAAATTTGTTATTAGCTAATCATAATATAATAAGGTAAGACAACTTATCGATAATTAAAAATGTATTTTATAAATTTACAAGAGAACTTTTATTTTTAATATTCCTCTTTTCACAAAGTCCCTCAATTGCTACCCACTGAATATCAACCACATTTGATGAAAAAAAACATTGAAGAAGGTACTCCCAAAAAATTTTCACCCAACCCTGTCACAAAAACCGTTTCTCCTTCCATAACATATCCCTCTGCGGGCTTGGATAGCTCTATTACCCAAACACTACCACCCTATTTGAAAATTGACAATAACAATTTTGACCAATTGCATAGCGTAGATAAACTTAAATTGCTACACACAGATAGGAAACCTAAATCCCCACATCTAGATAAGAAAACTAAATTGCTGCATAACGAATTTTATAATGGTGCCTACCCTCTGGTTTACAAGCCTAAACTTTTAAATTCTATATACGTGCCTTGTTCTCACAGTCATATAGACCTTTTAAAAAGACCTCAGGGTAGACCCAAGGGCTCTTTCGGTAAGAAAAAACGGTTGATTCTAGATACCTTGAAACCGCTGGTTAAATTGGAGCTCGAAACATTTTACGACGATTCAAATTTCAACTGGTTTTTTAAAATTATTTTACTTGAATTGTTATACAACATCATAACCTTGGTGTTGAATTCATTTTAAATTTTTTAACATTCCTTTACTACCAAAATTATCACAGAAAACAATAGTTACTCTTATATATTTTTTTAAGCTCACAAAGTTCTCAGAAATTTATGAAAATACTAGACACAATTCCTGCTGCCGTTACATGCTTAGACTGTCCCTTGTTACAAGCCAGGCTAACCTTTAATAACTCCCGACTCAGATTTGGATTTAAAACCAACAAAATTAAGGTATTTGTCATTTAAACCCTAATTTAGCATTTTTTAAATACTAATTTACATGGCCAACCCCCCCCCCCCCCACATAATTTATTTATTTAAGCCACCCACCATACTAAATCAACCCTCTTTGACTTATCCTGCTCCTCCTTTCGTAGACTCCCACAAAAAACTTTTGAATAATGCCCACATTAATGGATCCACAAATTTTGGTACCAGAAAAATGGAGTTTCTCTCCAATTTGCAAGAAAATCTTTTAACGAATGACCAGATTACAGACTTTAGGGTAAAATGTATGGGTGAAAATTTTGACCCGGAGCCGATGGAACTCGATCAAGAATTTGTCCAACCAGAAAATATCGACATACATATTATTGGGGGTGACAAGAAACGTCATGCTGGTTTGATCGATCATAATACAACAAGCTACTCAAAGGAAGATCGCCCCACTTTAATAATGATACCCACTCCTATCACGACTGATCCTTTAAATATCATTATTTCCACAAGTTACAGCAAAACCAGCACATTGAGCGAATCCATGAATGGGGTCGTCAAATCCCTGGCTAGTAACTTGATTCTCATTCGTAAATTGGGAGACAAAAACTTTTTTATCACGAATGGACCCCAATTGGGTTCGCCAGTTGATTCTGAACCCACCAACAAGAATTTTACCAGAAATATACCTTATACGAACAACTCTGTTTATGGCGAAACAAAGGGATCAAACCATTTTATATGTCATTTGTTTGATAAGAAAAACTCTCTATCCACTGACACTATTTATAAGATTTGCAAAGGTGGGGTTAGAGAAAAGATTCCTAAAATAGCAGAACAGATCCTTGCATTACAAATCAATGAAAATGTTAAAGAGAATTTTGTTTTAGCCAAGCCTGAAAGTTTTTATAAGTTAAACCAAATCCTCGAATTACCTTCTCAACCTTCCGAAAATCTAGAAATTAACCCAACTGAGAAACTTCCTGCCAAAGAATATAACTCATTTATTCTTCCTGATAAATGCGATGATGAGCAAATGCGCATAATGTTCAAAGGGTACAAATGTGGATGGAATGACTGCGGGAAGTAGATATTTAAAATGATATCATTTTGATATATTATTTGAACATTATTTATTCACTGATTAATGCCAAATATGTTTAGTTTATTTGTGAAGTAAATTTATCATAAGGCCATTCATATCAAATCGATTAAAAAAATACATTTTCGGCCACTTTTAAAATAGTGAATTATTAATATAGATAAAAAATGTGAAAGCTGTTTATTTTAGCTCGCAATAGATTTCTTCTATATTATAAAAAAACGAATGTGAGAAGGAGCAAATAATTTTAGAAGAGATTCAATAATTTCTCTGAATAAAATTTTATTCAAACAGAATCGCAAATATAACATTTCTCTCGAATATTAATGCGAATTTAAGAAATGGATATTTACAACCTATTTCACAAGAGCCGATAACGTTGCCAAGTTTTTGCATCGTATATATATTTATTTAAAAATGTGTCTAAATAAAAAGCAAAAAAAAATTTCGAAAACCAACTCTAAATTACTAAAAAACACTGGTGATGCCGTAAATGTATACCCAGAGTTGGGCAGTACCGCGAATACTTGTATCTAAGATACAAGATCCTTTTGTATCTTGTACTCAGTATCTTATTGACATTTTTAATAAGATACTAGTATCTGTATCTAAGATTCTTTATTTTGAAAAGAATCTTGTATCTATTTCATTTTCTTTTAAAAGATACAGATTCTTTTTAAAATTCATGTTTAAAACATTTACATATCACACAATGTAACTTTATTTTCTTCGTGAAATCTTGTATTGATAATAATAATAAAACAAAGTCCATTGACAAGTTAGAAGATTATTTAAAATTTCATGATAGTGAGAATACTCTAAGCTTAATAGGTAATTTACCAGATGAATTATATTTAGTCATGAAAGCAGTGTTTCCAAGAGAGTTAAATTCGAGTTATGATAAAACATTATATACATTAAAGTGTTTATGTAATTATAAATCGGCTACAGAAATAAAAGAAAATTGTTCTAATAAAAATTTTAGTAAATCAATAATGAGAATTATTATAAAAATAGAAAATTGGATAAAGAGACACATTATTATAAAAGAAATTATCATTATAATTGTAAATCTTTTAGTATAAAAAAATTAAAAAATATTAAATGAAAACCTTATAAACTAAAAGAAATAAATTATATAATAAAATTTGAAACATTTGTGATTATAGAAAATAAGAAAATAAACTTTAAAGAAAATAAGGAAATAACCTTTAAAGAAAATAAGGAAATAAACTTTAAAGAAAATAAGGAAATAAACTTTAAAGAAAATAATGAAATAAAAATTGAAGAAAATAATAAAATAAAAAATTTTATAATTAATAAAAAATTTAAAAAAACTTTGGAAAAGAAAATTAAAACAAAGGTGATTAAATATCGTGATGTTGAAAGAGAGATTAGGAGTACGATATGGAGATCGTATGGAGAAAGAGAAATTTTGTGATAAAAAACAATTTAAAGGTTAGTATTAATCGGTCATATTAACATTCCACCCTTTAAAAAACTTTCTCCACTCAGGTTTTTCTTGCATGTGAATCTTATCGTACAGTCAACGTTTCTTGATAAATGATATTTATTTTGGTTGTTCATATGATTGTTCAAGTCGTTCATGAGTCATTGTAGTCGTTGGCTTGATTCTATCACGTTGGTTTGTAAATATCGTTCTGAGTACGCTGGCTCGTCGTTAAGCTCCGTCATGATCATTGTCAATTTTACAAAATTGTTATTATCACCAATTGTAAAATTATCATTAATAAATAGGATTTCGGAATATATGAATAATTAGAGAATCGATCAAATTTGGATGTTAGAATAATAAAATGATGATAAATATATATTATGATCAATATATCTCAAATAAAATAATTTTGGAATAATTGAAATGATAATGGAATAAATAATTTATCAGAATCATTCATAATAATAAGAATCATAATAGAATATTTGGAATTGTTTCATTTTATATAATAATAATATATATTATTTAATTATTTTTATTTTTAAATTTTACTCCTTTATTTTTCAATTTAAACACTTCTTTTATATCATAATTTCTCTTTAACTTGTTCTTTATCACAAAATTTCTCTTTCTCCTTCCATTTTCAACATACGATCTCCATATCGTACTCCTAATCTCTCTTTCAACATCACGATATTTAATCACCTTTGTTTTAATTTTCTTTTCCAAAGTTTTTTTAAATTTTTTATTAATTATAAAATTTATTATTTTCTTCAATTTTTATTTCATTATTTTCTTTAAAGTTTATTTCCTTATTTTCTTTAAAGTTTATTTCCTTATTTTCTTTAAAGGTTATTTCCTTATTTTCTTTAAAGTTTATTTTCTTATTTTCTATAATCACAAATGTTTCAAATTTTATTATATAATTTATTTCTTTTAGTTTATAAGGTTTTAATTTAATTTTTTTATTCTAAAAGATTTACAATTATAATGATAATTTCTTTTATAATAATGTGTCTCTTTATCCAATTTTCTATTTTTATAATAATTCTCATTATTAGATTTACTAAAATTTTTATTAGAACAATTTTCTTTTATTTCTGTAGCCGATTTATAATTACATAAACACTTTAATGTATATAATGTTTTACCATAACTCGAATTTAACTCTCTTGGAAACACTGCTTTCATGACTAAATATAATTCATCTGGTAAATTACCTATTAAGCTTAGAGTATTCTCACTATCATGAAATTTTAAATAATCTTCTAACTTGTCAATGGACTTTGTTTTATTATTATTATCCCATATTGGTCTATTCATAATTTAGAGAAAATTTTTTTTTTTTAATTATTCTTCACTTTTTTAAATTAATCATATCTTACGTGTTTTTAGAATAATATAAATATTACATTCCTGAACTTTTTTTATCTAGATGTCTATATTCTAGTAGCTAAAATCATATCGTCTGTGGATTTAGAATATTTTGTAAGTCATTATAGCCCAATTTTATTTAGTTCGTCTAATTTGATATACACCTCATCTGGTAGTCTTCTCGTAAAGGAACCTGCTTTTTCAATGTCCGAGATCTGAGTGTCCTTGAAGATGTCATCTGCCCAAAAAAAAGATTGCCATTGCCTGAGTATATAGGAAATTAAATATTTATATTAACATTATTATTGGGAATCTGTTTCATATTTATTTATTTATTTACGATTTCCTCGAATATGTAGCTGAGCTGCCACCATAAAGTACTTTAAAATATTAGATGTAATCCATAAAGTATTTTAGAAGATTAGTTTATATAAAAAATCGTTTATTTAAATAAATTATTTTATTTTATACAATTTAAAAATTTTACATCTTTTTTTAAACTAAAAAAAATCTGCTTTATATAACAAAATATATAAAAAAAATTAATCTATCAATATATATAAAAAAATCAATTTATATCAACATAAAAAAAAACAATTTAAAGGTTAGTATTAATCGGTCATATTAACAATTTTCTTTATTTTTCCCCGCTATATTTTAAAACCAAAATTAGTTGGAAATTTTTACAGGTCACAAAGATAGATAGATTAAAAATAACAAAATACATAAAAGAAGGATATATTTTATATGTAATATTTTTTAATTTGTAGAATGTTTAATAATCATAGTAGTGAAGATGAAATTATTTAGATAGGTTCTCCTGAATCAAATCCGAATATTAAAATTCTAGATGGAAAATTTTATAAAGTAATTCATGTGAAAAAGAACAAGGTACAAGCTGAATGTAAAATTGCACAAGTAAAAAAGTTATTTAAGGTTCAACAAACTCCTTTACAAACTTTGTTAAACATATTAAAGTATATTATACATTTTTATTTTAGAATTATTAAAATATACTTAAGTCCCTCTTAGATAATTGTTATTAAAATTTTTTATAGAAGATGGTTGATTATCAAATTAAAATTATTTTGGATATATATTTTTTAGGGGTGTATCGATACCACTTTTTGGAGGCCGATCCGATATTCCCGATATTAAATTGATTTCGGCCGATTACCGACCGATATCATATCTAATTCTGTATTCTGTAAAGATACCAATGGTTATTTTTAATATACTTTTATTAGTATAACATATATAATTTAACTATACCATAACTTATGTCATTTAAAATATTATAATGATCATTTATAGTATATTCAATTCAATTGCAATTCTAAAAGTAAATATTTTTATTGTTAAATCACTTTTATATAATAAGTAATAACATTAATCTATATACATAATAAGTAATAAACAATTATATTATGAAATTTGAAATAAATATTTAAAATAATATTTAACATTAATATATCGAAGATTTCTTTTTAGAAATACCAATATTTCCAATTTATCAGAGATCAGCTTGGCGATAATAACTGTCAATATCACCAGCTACTAAAACCAGACTGAAGAGAATCTTGCACACTTTTATAAACAGAATGCGCAAAAAAATAAAAATATGGCAGAATTTATTAATTAATTATTATTATTAAAAAAATATACATAAAAATGGATTTCGATTTTATTTATAAAAATAAATGATTTTATAAATAACTTTTTTAAATTTTATTTTTGTTAAAGAAGCCATTTTATATCGGATCAAATTTTATAATATTGGCCGATAACCGATATTTTAAAATGGGTGAAATCGGCCCTATCCGATCTGTAAAAAATATCGGCACATCATTAATATATTTTATATATAATTATTTTAGCAAGTTCTTATTAGAGGAAATATTTAAGCTACAATTGATATATAACATTAGATAATTTTAAAAGGCTCTTAATAAAATAATTATAATAAGGTAGAATTTAACTTTATTCGTTACTTTTATTTATTTATGATATAAGTAAAATTACATTGCGGTATTTATTTACAAAATTTAATCAATTTAAAATGCATTAAAGAAAATTGTTATGTATTTAATAATTATAATATAATGTTGTACATTATTTTCATACTTTTTATATATAATTAATGATTTTGCAAGAAATATATAAAAAAAATTTGAAAAGCGATGTAAATGATAATTATATATATGATATTACAAACGCAAGAATTAATAAGTCATACTAGAAAATAAACTAATTTAAAAAATATATAAATATCACAAACGGGTCATTCCACGTCAAATGAGCAAAAAAAATGAGATTTTCGGCCGACCCCTTTCGATTTTTTTAAAATTTGGTAAGCAAAGAAAGGTCAATGTAACTAAGAAATAGCCTCGGCCGACCCCTTTCGATTTTTTTTAAAATTTGGTAAGCAAAGAAAGGTCAATGTAACTAAGAAATAGCCAAAATTTTAGCCTCCTAACATTTATATTTTTGAAAATATTAGGGTTTCAAAGTAGCAAAAATGACGTATTTTTTCCATTATCTGCGTTCATTCAATTAAGCATATCTTAAAAACTACATAATTGTAAATAACGAATTTAATATCAAAATTACGTAAAGATTCTACTTTTAGATAAAAAAAATTTTTTATTTTTTTTTCCAATTTCCGGCCATTTTATTTAATATATAAGGACTAAAAACGATTTTTTGGAAATAATACGACCTTCAATTTTTTTAAAAAATTTAGTAGACATTATTAAACTCTTCCTTTATATATATAAAAAAATTGGTCTGGGACGCGGCCATCTTCATTCTCTGATCGATAAAAATGTTTAGAAAAGTGTATAAATATTTTCCCGTAAGTGGGCGTCTTTGTATAAAATTATATATTAATCAGTTTTTAATGGTTTTTCTTGGACTATTTGATATAATTTAAATGAGTATTCATCTTGTAAGTGAAAATAACCCTAATATCTTCAAAAATATAAATGTTAGGAGGCTAAAATTTTGGCTATTTCTTAGTTACATTGACCTTTCTTTGCTTACCAAATTTTAAAAAAATCGAAGGGGGTCGGCCGAATCGTGGTTGATTTCTCATGGAATGACCCAAACAAGTAATGATAAATACTTATTAAAAATGAATAAAATAAAACTAGTATATTTTTTTTAGAGATGCCATTTAGCCATATACTCCGAATATAAGCTATATTTAAAACAACACAGAAAATAACCTGCAAATTCTAATAAATCATTTGATTTAATTTTTTTTTCCTATTTGAGAATTTTCAATTCCATTAAATATACTACTCTCCCTTCCCTTTCACAAATAAATAATAAAAACTGTATTTTATAAACTATTCTAATTTAATTGGTAAAAAAGTATCTTGTATTTAAGATAATCTAATTTAGTAAAAGATACTTATCTTTTTGATATTTTGAAAAATATACTGGTATCTGTATCTAAGATTCATTTTTTTATAAAGAATCTGTATCTGTATCTAGATTCTTTTTCTGGAAGACGTGCCCAACTCTGTGTATACCATAAAAGACTCAAATTATCGCCATTTTTTTCTTTCGATAGACCTTTAGAAATTTTTTGTACCTACAATATGATATATTATATTTATTTATAGTTTTTGAGATAAAGCATTTTTGAAATTTTACAGATTCAAAAGTCACTATTTTTCGCACCTTAGAGACCCTCTAACTCAGAAACCAGGTGTATTAGCGAGCCAAAAAAACGAATTTCTCATTTTTTTACCTATCTAAATATTCCAGAAAATTTTAACAATTTTTAAAAGGGGTCGACCGAATCATGATCAATTTGACAGGAATGTCCCCACAACTTGTTTAAATTACATAAATACTAGCACACTCATTTGAACAAAGAAGTGTTCAAAATATATAACTTGCTTAATTATACAAGTCAAAATAAAAAAATTCCAAATTTATTTTTTTTAGAAAATAAAGTTAATTTTTAACAAATGATTTTTGATAGAGTTGGTAAAGAGATTTATTTTATACGATTGCAGGATATTCAAATCTGTTCAGTCTATTCAGTCTCATGTTTACTTTATTCACTCATCTCATGACGGGTATTGTTCTTGGCCACCTTGTGTCGGCAAAATTTACCGCCGAAAATTTTCTCTTGCCAATCATTTGCAGGTTTAAACGGGTATTATATTTGAATATTTTACACGATATTCGATTCGTATTTAGCGAATAAAAGAAAGAGTTATTATTTTCTATCTAGTCGATTTTATTCGTATAATTTATTATTATTATATATTATTTGAAATAATTTGTGATTATTATAAATGTTCGAAATTATTCTTAGATATTTGTAAATCCTCTAAATTATACGAAAATACCAATCGAAAACGAATAATGTAAATACCCTATTATTAATTTTGTATAAATCACTTCTAGTTATTTAAAATTTTGTAATATAAAATTAATTAAATTTTGATTGCTCCTTATGATTGGGTTGATACAATGATCAAAATCCTCATACATGAACCCTTTAATGTTTTAAACGTTCTTTGTATGCTGTATATCAATCTTTTATTAATTTATAAAGTTTACTCATAATGATTTCTGATATCGACTTATTACATTATATTTTATGTATTTTTTAAATATATCTTTGTAGGATTTTCATTGTGTTGATAAAAATTTGCAAATCGTGTCGACGTACATCCCAGACATAAAAAAGGGCAATTATAAAATTCAAACCCAAAATCCTGGCCCCACTTCTCCCAAAAGGATTACCGAGAACGAGCTTAAAGTATGCCAAGAGCTCAACTCTAAAGATTTATCGCACAATATCAATTATATGCGAACTCCCAATAATTTTTTGAATGATTACATGAATCAATGTTCTCACGATATGCCTGACCAGGCTGCTTTGCAGACTATCTACCGGTATTTCAATGCAGCGATTTCTTCACAAAACATCTCCGTAATATATTTTTTATATGTACATATACTTAAAACTATTTTCCGGTATATCTATCGGCGGCCTGTGCGATTTTTAAAAGAATTGGGCACAGCTTTATAGCCGCCATCATTAAGGGCGACATGAATCGGTGCAATAGATTTTTTAAATAATATATTCATTATTGAATTATAATTTATTTTTTTAGGAAACGCTAAATGCTTATACGATGATTCTTTAAAGAAAACTATAAATTCTAATTTTCATTCTTTCCCTCTAATATAAATAGCAACCTGTTTGCTTTATGTAATACTTTTTAATTTTATACTATATTAAACAAATAAATATTTTTAAAAATTCAATTTATTATTTTATAGTTATCACGTATAAAAATAATTTTATTGAAATTTGCCGTACATAAGGATGATCTCCTTGAATTCAATCAGGCCTAGCGATAGAGAGGACTTTTTCACTATGTGTGCAGTTGCTGGTCCCTAAAAGTTTTTTTAGCAACATGGAAAGATACGGAAGTTTAATCCTCATACATTCCAAAATTTATAACATCCATATTCTGCGAATGACATTTTCCGATAAGAGTGATATTCTTGCTCTAATTCATTGATAGTAGAATCATAATTTATGTTTGTCATTGAATTTTACTTGCGAACTTTATTAGATCGCTTGTATATTATATCCCCCCTCCTTGGCTTTCAATTTTTACATTTATTAATTGTATATCATCATTCTTTAGACGTTTAAGATGCTTATAATAAATTCAATTTACATATAATTTTGTTCTGTCATATGTTTTGATTGAATGTTAATTTTTGAGAGGGGGTCTAATAAAAAGGCCAAAACCTAGATAATTTATGAAATAAAAAAATCGCTAAAAGGAAATCTTCAAGTTAGTTTTTTTAAACATATTTTCCTTTAGTGAAGTAACCTCCGAGCTATCATTATAATTTATTAATAAATGAGTTTATATCTAGTTCCTGAAAAAAAATCTTTTTTATGTTGAAGGAAATTTAATTGTTTCCTTAAATTTTGACAAATATGTTAATAGCACCTCCACTAGATCCAATTCATAGTTTGAGATTTGAAGTATTATTTTCTAATTCTTTTTAAAACACTATTGAGCGGATTTTTAGTTTCTGGAATACTTTCGAGCATATATTTTATTCTTTATTTAAAAAAACTGTAAATTATAATTCTCATCCTTTCCCTCTAATATAAATAGCAACCTGCATGCTTCATGTAATATTTTTTTTATACAACATTATATATTTTTTATTTATTAAACAATTAAATATTTTAAACACATCTTTTTACAACTAAATCTACGTAGTGCTATATCGTTATATAGAATTTAAAGAAAATTTAGAATTTTCAACTATTTTCTGGCCAGTTAAAATATATAAGTTTCTTGTTTATAAATATCTTGATAGATGTCGAATTATTTCATAAATATATGTGCTGTTAATACGGTTTTAAATTTGGATAACTTTTCTAATAAAAGTCGGATTCTGAGGTCGTTTTTGCAAAAGACATTTTGTTATATAGATAATATAATGCACTTATTGTCGTAGATATTAGCGCATATTTTTATAATCAATCCGAAAAAATGCTTTCTCGCATGCTCACCATCTTGTTCCCATTTTTTGAAGCCTACTTAATTTTATTGAAGCATTCTTTTATATAGTGCTGTGAAGTAACGTCAAAAAATTAACATTATTATTAACGACGTTCCTTTTTTTGAAGAAAAGGAACGTCATTCGGTACCTTCTTCTAGAGGTAACGAGTAACGGTAACGCGTTTTTTTTGAGTAAAAAGCGTTACTCGTTACTTTATATTTTTTCTTAAAAAATATCAACAAAAAGAAAAACACAATCATAAAATTACTTTTATTTATTTTTTAATTCTTAATATAAATAATTTAAACCAAGTTTTAATTTATATCAACCACTTCTTTCATTTTTATTTTAAATTCTCGTTGAATAAGATATTATTATTCTTATAATTTATTGTAAGAATATTATGTCCATAGTACTTACTTCTTCAGATGATTTAACCCTTCCCTGGCCCAATTTGAAATATATTTTAAACCAATAAAGAAATTAATGGTACCAAGTCTACACTTTTTAAATGTAAATTATATCCCAGCACAAATATTTCAACCTCAATGTCCAGCAGTTCAAACTTAAAAAAGCATTTCAGGGTAAAAAGATGAATTTTACTTTAATAATAGAATAATATTCTTTCATAATATTTTGAAAAGCCTAATCATGGAATTAAAATATAAGTAAGGCTGTGCCGATATTAAATATCGGATCGGGCCCATACCTGTAAAAACCCGATCCGGTTTCTTTACTTTACTTTTTTTGTTATTTTATGTTATGTATATTTATTTTACATTATTATAATATTTTCTAAATAATTTTTTTTTAAACAATGCAAATGCACAACACCCTCTAAATTTTATTCTTTTTTAAAATTTTATAGTATTTTTTATAGAAATAGAAAGGAACACCCAAAGTTTTAATTATTTTAAATCTTTTTAAATAATAACGCCAATTTTATTATTTTTACTAAATAAAAGAATTTTTTTAAATATGGTATCTGAATTATGGAAATATTTTACAAAAGACAAAGATAATTTTGCAAAATCATCTGAGTTTACCTTCAGTACGGCAGGGGATATAGATACTCCATATCGTAAAAACTTATTGCCAGAAAATCTAGAGGCTCTCGTATTTATCAAAAAAATCTAATATTAATTTTATATAATCTTCTTCTTCTTCTCCGTTTTATGGCGATTTCCAGGTTTACCCGGGTAGGCCAGTTTTCCCTCTGATTTTTCTTTTCCATTTTTGACGGTCCTGAGCATCAATACTTGTAAGATTCAAGCTTCTCATATCCGCCGCTATCACATTTGTCCACGTCATCTTGAGTCTTCCTCTAGGTCTTGATCCTCCTACTTCCATCATTGTGCATCTCTTTACCCAGTCATCTCTTGTCATACGTTCCACTTGCCCAAACCATCTTAGTCTATTTCGTCGCATTACCATACCAATCATTTCTATACCTAATCTTGCTCGCAATTCCTTGCTAGTTTTTCTCTCTCTCAGAGATACCCCACACATCCATCTAACCATCCTCATCTCTGTTCTTTCTAATTTGGCTTCGTGAATTGCTTTCATTGCCCATGTTTCACCGCCATAAACTAAACAACTCCTCACGCAGCTTACGTAAACTTTCCCCTTTAACTTCAGAGAAACTTTTTTATTTGTAAGAATAGATGACATCTCTCTGAACTTCTTCCAAGCTTGTCTGATCCTTGCAACAACAGCAGAATCTACACCACCATCTGCGTTTAGCATATCACCTAAATAACAAAACTTATCCACTTTTTCTAGGGTTAACCCATTGCCAATATCCAGACCACCATTTTTTAGGTTATCATTATTATGTATCCCTTTCATGCATGTTTTACAAATAAAGGTCATTCTTTCTAACATCAAACTGCCTTTTTTCCCACTACATCTTTTATGTACCCATTTCTGGCATCTGGTGCATTGGATAGAATTTCTAGCAACTCCTTTCCCACATACACCACAAGGCCACTTACCTGATTCTTCTATCTTTAGATTTTCCCCACCAATCATCACCTTTGTTTTTGATGCATTCATTTTCAGGCCCTTTGCTTCCATAGTCATCTTCCATTTACTAACTTTATCCCTCAATTCTCCCTCACTGTTTGCCATTAATACAAGGTCATCTGCATATAATATCTCCCAGGGAAGTCCTTCACGCATTTCTCTAGTCACCACATCCATTACTAAGATAAATAATAATGGACTCAGCACGGATCCTTGATGAAGTCCTACCTTCTCCTCAAAGCTGTCACTATCACCTTGATCCGTCCGTACTGCTGTTTGTGCTCCAAAATACATTGCCATCACTTCGGTAACTAACCATTCCTCCACACCGGATTTTCTCAAGGCCCATCTTGTAATCTCACGCGGCACCCTATCAAATGATTTCTCCAAATCAACAAACGCATAATAGAGTTTCTTTTCCTTCGCAAGATACTTCTCCTGAATTTGTCTCACCACAAAAATTGCATCTGTCGTGCCTTTTCCCGATGTAAAACCAAACTGCATTTCATCAATTTTGATTTGTTCCCTTATCCGCTTTTCTAACACTCTCTCAAATACTTTCATTGCATGTTCCAAGAGTTTAATAGCTCTGTAAGACCCACAATCTAAAGGATCACCTTTCCCCTTGTATACTGGGATAATTATACTTCTTCGCCAGTCCTCGGGAATAGTACCTTCTGTGACAATCTGATTTGCTAAATTCATTAACCATTCAATCCCTAAATCATCAGAACCTTTAAACATCTCTGATACCACCATCGTTAAACCCGATGCCTTCCCTTTCTTCATCTTTTTCACTGCTCTCCTTATCTCGTCCTTGCCAAATTTACACCCTGGACCTTCTACCTTTGCACAACTAATATTATTATTCCATTCATTTTCTTCATTCAAAAGTCCTTTCATGTAAATCTTCCAGGTGTTCTTAATACCACTACTATCAATCGTCATTTTTCCTTCCATATTTTTCAAACACTTTACACCTATCACATCCTGCCTCTTTTTTGACATCTGTTTTGCCATTCTAACCATATTTCCAATTCCATCAGCGCATTTCATTTCTTTAGCAAACTCGTGTCTTTTTTCTTCTTGAGCCTTCGCTATTAATTTCTTAGCATTTCTTTTAGCCATCTTGTAAATATCATTATCACTATTTTCTTTGCTATTATACCATACTTTGAAACACCTCCGTTTCTCATCCACGGCTTTCGCTACCTCTGGGCTCCACCACCAAGTCTCCTTATGTCTAGGCGGCCCTTTTGTCCATCCACATACCTCCTCAGTTGTCATTACCCAAGCTTTCTTCATGGCTTCCCACTTGTCATTCACCCCAGATGCTTGTGCCACCTCCGCCTCCCTAATCGCCAATGC